GTGTGGGCCGCATATCAACCACGCCGATCTATTTATCATATCAATTAAGCAATAACTATTATTTGATATAAAAAATAATGGAAAGAATTTTTTAATTTTAAAAAAATAACTATTTTAACCGAGTTGTTATTGAAGTAGTTAGTGAATAACTGAATTCTCTAAAGTCCACGATCATTTATATAGTTCTTTTGAACGGTGATCAAATCCTCTTGATAGTTCAGATGAATTAATGTCATATCAAATGTGCACGCTTCGGAAACACGCCGGCGCGGAGGCGGGCAGATGTTTGGCATGGTCGGGCAAAATTACCTTAAATAAAATATCAAATTATAGTAAGATGTATCAAAGTCAATTTAAGGTAGTGACAATTATTTACTAAAACATGAACAACGAAATAATAATACATTAAAATTAAAAATATTAAAAATAGACTTTATAGCAATTTTTGTTTTAAATATTGCAATTTTGTGAGGATATTGAGTTTTTTCAAAAAAAAAAAACTCGTTTGACATGTTTTTACGTGTACATATTATATGCATTTACAATCATTTTGAAAAATTGACTACATATCACTTTTGTCATTTATTTAAATATATCATGAACTAATAATAATATATGATAATAGTAATATATGAACACAATTGACAAGACATGACAATCTGACAAGGATCTTGTATAGATAGGATTCATTTTCCCGTGACGGCCAGATAAATTAGTTGCATATCCTCGTACATTTTTATATATTTACCCTCTATTTCAGTGCCATTAGACACTTTTTGTCAATATTTGATCTCCTACATTTTCTCGTGATTACGTTGTGATTAAAATTATGAGGTTTACGGCAGAATATTGAATTATCTATTCTATTACTGTTTGAGGGCCGATTAAAAATCACGAAAGTTAAAACAATGCAAAAGAAAAAAATCTATTGATCCTTATAATTTCGATAGCCAACACGTTCAATGCGACTTACCCCCATGGAAGTGAATTCGGGACGCAAAGTGTTGTAATTGGCCACGTCTGCCCGTTTCTGCGTACGGAATACAGCGTGCACTGAACAAGTCCTGCACACGTTCAGTCGCCTGAATAATTGGTGTACCTATGAATAAGTTACAGTTACCAGACTTAGTATATTCTTAATTACAGCGCTGCGTAGTTAATGTCTCGCGTATATGTCATACGATGCCAATTGAAAGTCTTAATGCTCAATTTTGCCAAATTTTACTTGCCGAGAATGTCTTGTCGAAATATTTTTGTGAGTTTTTTTTATTTTTTTCGTTTTTTTTTTAGTTTGAGCCATTTGTAGTCCGGAGAAATGGCTCTATTTGCTCAAGAGAGCGTTACTTTTTCGTTTCGCTCGCAAGTTGACATAAAGATTTGGCCAAATAAACTTTATCGTTAGGAGAAATTTATAAAGAGAAAATTTTAATTATTATAGAAAATGTTTTGATTTTTAATCGATGTTATTCGAATGGAATAGTTTGTGACGAATGCTCGAGATGCAATACGTTAATTTAGTGCCAAATGATATAAGTTAACTGGTAGCAATATATTGTATCCTAATGCTCTTGTGTAATTTCTCGCGTAGTGTTAGTGACCTATGAGGTTTAAAGGTTTCTTTTACAAGACTATAATATATTTATACAGGGAAAGTGTTAGGTATGTATTGTTTGGATATAAGAATGTTGTCACGGAAAATACTCATTGTGACAGGGTGTAAAAATAAAGGTGAACGGCAAGAACTCGCGTCGCTGTTGCTGTTTGACTCGGAGTGTTGACTAGTGTTGTGCTTTGCCGGAACAACGAAGTGATTTTTATACAAATAATATACTTGAAGCTTTTTTTTTCTCCTCCAAAATAAAGTACTCGTTATTTTTACACTCTGTTTTTGTAGCACTGAATGAGCAATGGAACAAGAGAATTTATTTACTCAAATAAGTTTTTTTTATTATTTATAATATTTTTTTTTTACTAAATGTATACATTATTTTGCATTTTATGATTGTAATGGCAGCTGTCCATGTATTTCGGTGAATGATCAAATCGCTCACTGATTTAGGGTTTCATGAATAAATTATAAATTATACATCGAACATGACACATTGGGCACAAATATTGATATAAAAGATGCTGTAGCTTCCTTCGCTTGCTATTTGTAGTTGTTAATCCTGAACGGCAGAAACTTTGTATTACTCGATAATTAATTAAAAACAGCTATTGGTGTCTATGGGCCTGTTGGATGTCAATCGCAGGACTTCGCCTATACCAGATTTGATCGTAAATTTAGAAGTTTTCAGTTAAATATTGAGTAACGTCTCACTAAAGTGTAATAATTTTCCTATGACTCGTTTGTTAGACTTTGTGGAACCCTTGTTATAGAGTGTATATTTAGTATATTTTCACTGAGCAAAAATCTTGATAACTAAATGTAGATAAGAACAACATCGATGCCGCTGTGGTATGGGGACACAGTGTTGTGCCAAAATTATGTGCTAGTCTATGATAAAGAAACAAAATGTTGTTATCATTTTTCAGATTTTATTTAGTCCAGAATGTGTTTGTTCCTGTGCTGTGAAAATAATTTCCAACAAATCAACACTAGGTTTAATGTGGGTAAAGTAACACAATGTACTCGTACATCACTACTACTAAATAATTTTACATGTAATAAACGAACAAATCGTAAATACGTAAAATTAGCTGTTAACTTAAAAATTATTTGTGTTATAAGCATTTTATGTATTCCGTCACATGTTGAAAATTTAGTGTGCAATTGTTAATATTATTGTGATATAACCTTGTTCAAATTAGCATACGATTTTATTATAATAAAATAAATACTTATTGTTTAAAAGTTATATAAATATACGTTTAAAACATTTATATTTTATGGAAATTTTATATTTATTTTGTTCGTTTTAATTTGTAGTTCTATTTTCAATTGTAATTTATGAATGTTGTCTAATATTTTTTTTTTCTGTCAAGCATTAGGGATCCTATGAAAATTACCAAATTTATATTTTATTTGTAAAATTGTGGCAACTATGAGGCATCTTTTTACAATTATTTCATATAAAATCGTGTGCTAAAATGAACGATTCATACATTGTGTGGACAAAGCGAAAGGCTTGTGTAGATATCTACATGTTATTGAGGCGCGGAGTCGCTATCGATCTCAAAGGCGTAGGGTAACTGCTGGAAGGTCGTGTTGATTTGTTGATATATTTATAGTATTTATGTAATTGCACATAATAATTTAGCTTTGAGCTCGTGCAATAATATTCCAAATTGTTTATAAATGAAAATGTTATAATTATTTCTAAATTGTTATATAAATATTTTTGTAAATCTTAAAAGACAAAGGCAACATGGATTCTATTTTTGTTGTGCATTTATTCTAAAATTTTATTAACGAGCCCACAAACTCATTGAGGACTGTAATGTCTGCGTCTGTGAAAACATATTAATTAGGTACAGTAGATGATTTTATATATTGCTGATATTGTGAGTCAATTTTAGTAATGATTATTTCCTTTTATTAAGTTTAATTTACTATAAACAAATTAATATAAGATTGCTCAACCAAGATGCAACGCTAACTGCAATGTAGACATGATTTTGTATTATGACCTTTTATATCGTTATTTATCTGATATTTCAGTTTATTCATTTGTGAGTTTGGCAGCACATGTTATAATCTTATGTTTATTCTTAAGAGAGGCCAAATGTTGACTTGCTTATGTGAGACTGTTTTGCCAAGAATCAGAAAGTATATTACCTACATTGTTTTAAAATAAATGCTTTTATATAAAAAAGGTGTTCTTTTCTTTTTCCTATTAATAAAAATGCCACTTTTATCCATTTCAGACGCAACTGTAAAAATTTTAATTGAGTTCGGCTTAACAGCTCACATCACAAATCGTTTTATTGTACACTTTCATACATGTTCATACAGATTAAACGCCTAAAATCTAGTCTTCGGAGGTCTAAAATATTTATTAACTAAAGATATTTTTAACCAAAATTGGGTTACGACTGCGGTGACACATATTGATGTCTCTGTTTCTTCAACAAGAATGTAAGAGATGATAATATATCAATAGAAGTAGCAGTCGGCCAATCCATCCTAGGCAAAAAAAAGTAAATCGATCTATCCCTTTTCATATTCACGCGTCGCGTACGTTATGAAAAACCTTTGAACGAAAAATACAATTGAAACAAATTATATTATCTATTGTCGTTTACGCTGTCAAATGTCAAATTGTCAAAGTCAATCAACGTCAATTGTCAAAGAAGTGTGCATCTAACCTGAATTATATTTACATTTTCGTAACTATTGGTTTACTAATTTATTGTTTATTGCAAATTATTTCATTATTTTTAAAACGACATATTTGTTTTACAAAAATTTACGATTATTTCTTGCGTGTCCTAAACATTTACTATTATTTAGAACAAAAATTGTGCGATATTAGATGGCGTTTCCTCAGCCTAATGCTCAAAGAGGTACGAATAAATTACACACCAAATATGATAGGAAATTAAATATTTCGTCAAAGCGAATTTAGTTACACCTCGCACTGGCACTGTGTAACTACTTGCTAGTAGGATTTGGTTATTATTAACTTATTTAAACAAAGTAAAAGCTAAATTTGATCAAAGTATCTAACAACTACTTACAAAATCCATAAATGTTCGTTAATTTAGCTGAGATTGTTTAAAGGTATTGTAATATATAATAAGTGGTAAGATTATTAACATTTTTAATTCTCCTATTTAGAATTGACTAATAGAAAAATATTGGAAGAACTGCAGTTGAAGAAACAAATGCTACTGAAACAAGGTGCTGTGGCCCCACTGACAGCTAGCACTATACCTCTGATCCAGCCCAGCCCAGTCAACCAGTTGCCTATGTGCTCTATTCCACCTGTATCTGCTACTGCTGTAAGACAATCCAAATAACAAAAATTGCAAATAATATTTTTAAAGTTTTAATGCCTGTTTACCATTAGTATCTATGTCACTAGATGCTCTAATTTGTGCTACATTATTTCAGTTCAATTTATTTGATGCTAACATAGTTCTTAAATATATATTTATACTACTTTCAGGGCTTTCCTCAGTTACCAGAAGCAAATATTGTAAACACAAGCCATAGAGCGGCCCTTCAACACGCCCACGCTAACTCTTGTGGCTTTTTCGTATCGCAGGATTCTTCATTTGGTAACCAGATTTTGCCTGTACTTCCAAGATTTGATACTAAGTAATACATTAACTGAACAACATAATGGCTGCTTTACTAAAACTGAAAGTGCTTGAGGAACATTTGCAAGATCTTGTTGGCTTTAAGAAGCCAAAGATACAGTATGAACAATATGAAACTCCGTCACACATAGCAGCGGTTGCCTTACATACTATACAGGTTAGTGCTAAATAAATTCAACACATCTCAAAAAGATAGAACTCCTTTTATAGGATGGGTTGCTTGAACAAAAACTATATTTATTGTTACCATTAATTTGCAAGTAAACTAGACTTGTCTACAAGTGTTTGACATTTGTACTGTACATTTTTGTAGAGAATGATTTTGAATGGCTCTTGATTAATTTAATTAAATATCTTTGGTTCATTACTTTTAAGGTTTGAGTTGTTATGGTTGTTTTAAAAACTATGTTTTTCTAGGTTAGATTTGAAGCACTAGAAAATCGTTTAGTTTTGGATGCAGGCTGTGGACCAGGTGTATTAGCTTTGGGTGCATCTTTGCTGGGAGCTAATCTTGTCACTGCTTTAGAAATTGACGAGGATGCTATAAAAATAATCATGGAAAATATTGATGACACAGAAACTACTAATGTTGAAGTAATACAGACTGACTTCCTAAATTGTAACAATTACAGGTACAGCAAATATCTCAGTTATTAGCTTTTAAAAATTATATTGGATTTATTTAAAACAAAAAATTTTAAATAAATCCAATATTATTTTTAAAAGCTAAGTAGAAATTCTCTATAACTAAACAGAAACTCCTTTTGACTACAAGTGATTTTTAAAACTATAAAACTTATTAATTTCAATACACTATTTTTTCAGATGGGAAAACTACTTTGACACCGTATTGATGAACCCTCCATTTGGTACGAAAAATAATATTGGAATGGACATGAAGTTTCTACGCATGGGCCTTGATCTTAGCTGTGATAGTGTATACTCACTACATAAATCTTCAACAAGGTATTCCATATTAGTCTTAAACATAATAAAATTGGTTATTTTGTAGTATTTTCTCGCATGTAGTAAGGTAACAGTAGTAGTATTATCTTAAATCTGTTGTAATAAAGTTGAAATTCCTGCAGATCACATATACAAAAGAAGGTTAAAGAGTGGGGTGTAAAGGGCGAGGTAATCGCCGAACTACGCTACGATCTTCCCGCCACCTACAAATTCCATAAGCAAGCCTCGCGAGACATTGCCGTCGATCTGTGGAGACTAAAACATCCTCATATGTGACACCTGCAGCTTTATAAGATCTCACTGTTAGATGGCAACATTTGGATATGAACACTATTGCTATCTGTTTTTTTTTTTTTCAAAGGGTGTGAGTGGAGTGGCAACATTTTCAGAATACAAATGTGATAACTGGTGTACAGTAATACCCCTCTTTAGATACTTATAAAATTATACATCGGAACTAATAATCCTGTCTATTTAATTGCCATGTTAATTTTTTAAAACAGATGAAGTTATGTTATATGGCAATTAAATAAAGATAAATATGAATTACCTTTTATGCCAATATACTTTGGAAATTGTGTACAAATTATTTATTTTTATTGTATAAAAAAAACGACAAATTTCTTTTGTAATACATAAACAACAAATACTTTTTCTGGCATCTTTTATTAAAATGTATACCCTTCAGTAAGACAAAAACCAATGTCTTTATAAATCAAAGATGGCCGCCGCACCGAAATGGCGGATCCCTTTTTTATACAATTACCCCCATATAAAATCATCGACTCAGAGAATAAAACACTCTAATAAAATATAGATCACAATACTTAAAAATAGAATTTGTCTTAAAATATATTTTTTAATAATAATAGTTTTGGTACTTATAAAATTTATGATAAATATTGTAGTTTCTGATCAGCCGTCCAGTCGTCGGATGTTGTCGGCACTGGCGTTGGACTTTCTGACTGTGGGGATGCTTTGAATGTGAATGGAGCTGAGGTTGTTTGTACTTCCATCTGAAACTGTTGGAGTTCCATTTCAGATACAATAGAAAATATTTTATTTTTCGCCAACGCTTGTAGGTACGGTGAGAACTTTTTAACAGTATCGGAAATGTTTAAAAAGAAGCGATCTAATTCATCGTGTCCTCTGACCGGTTCAACGTTCTTTTCATCTTCAAATGTAGACACATTTGGCGTTAATACTGGTGAAGGTGATGACCCTGATTGACCCGCTTTTCTCTTTAAAGCTTTTAGCTTTTTGTTACTCTTTTTTTGCCACGACTTGTTAATAACTTCTTCACTCTCATTATCAAGAGGATCGTCGATGTTAATGTTGATGTAATTCTCTAAGGCCTCTGTTCCATATGTTACATGGGCATTGTAAGCCAAATCATCCTCGTTTGTAATTTCGACGGAATTCTTAGTTTTCTTCTCCATAAAAAATGGAGCCACAAAAGCCATTTCTTTTTCATATTTCCATGGTTTTATACCTTTGGCTGCTTCCCCTCTATCTCTTTTATGTTTTAATGCCCTTCTAAATGAATCTCGGAGACATTGCCATCGTTGTTTACAAGCTATAGCTGGAAAATAATATTTTAATTAATTTCATCACTTATCAACGTTATAGTTGACGTCTGACATTATGACGACAAGACGAAAAACTAAATTGAATACATGCTACTTTGTTGCAAGAAATTATTTATATGACGACCACAAACCAACTTAATTTATAATTTTTGAATAAGTGATTTTTCTTAAGAAACATTAGCACCGCTTAATAGTAACTCCTAATCCCTTTAATTAACAATAATCAAATCTCAAATATTAGGACTTAAAAATACCTAATAAGAATGCAAAACATATATTAGCAAGACGAAATTTATCCAGTTCGAAGGACCATTGTCCGTGATATCCAGACTAAGATAATAGGATCTTTGCTAAATATTGGACTGTTTCTTCTTATGATCATATTAGTTGTGATATAATTTCTCATAATTTCAATGATGATACTAAGAAAAATGACCATTCTTTTTAATACTTTCAAAGTGGCCTAAGACTAAATCGAGTTTTGACACAACACAACACTAGATTATTCATGTGATGACTGGTTTAAATTATGCCACTACAGTAGGATTAATTTACATACTGGCGCTAGTTAACATCTACAGTATACCAATTGTATGCCAGCGCTGATTTTGAAAGCTACTGTCTAACTGTGAACCATAAGCCATAAGATTAAAATTGTCATGCAAATTATATCTAACGTATGTGGCCTACATTAAACTACACCGAAAGTTATTCAAATAAGTAAATATATGTATGTATGTTTGATCTAAACATATGCACGTACCTAAATCCACTTAAAACTTACCGGACTGATTTAACTGCTCTCCAATTTCATTCCATGCAATCTCTTTTTTGGCATTATCCATAGATCTCGGATGTTTCAAATTATATATAAATTCGTATTTACGAACAGTTTCAATTAATTTCTCATCATCCATCTTCCATGCATGGTTTATGCGAGTATACATGTTTGTAAACTGTAACGATAGCAAAAACTCAATAAACAACAAGCAAGTGGAGAGTGCCAACGGTTACTACGGTCGTCATAAGCGGTCGTGAGCCGTATGCCCACCGTTTCTCCGCCTGCGCGCACCGGTTTGGCAACGTCGCATGCCGGTGGCATATCGCCCGTATCGGCGCCAGCAAAACATTCTCGTCTCGCCGACGACGCGTCGAGGCCGCTCGATTATTGCCGCTCCGTGCATGCCTCGCGGTGGCGCTTGTCACTTGTCGCTGTCGTAACGGTGAAGTGGACAGACTTTTATTTTTTTTGTCTGATGTAGTAAATATTACACCTTGAAATAGGAGTATTTTATTGCCCAACTATCTGCCCAATAATATACCTAGATTAAAATATAGTATCATTTTCTTAATCGATTGTTTGTAAAGTATGTTTATCTTTCCTTTATCAAATTTCAATACATTATCATAAAGTAATTTTTAAACGCATGGAATATGATATGTGAAAATAAAACACCTTATACACTTTTATTTATAATGTTACAATACAATTACAATCAGTCTTCATAACAGCTGTAAACAAATACACTTTTCGTAATTTCAATTGCATCGAAATTAAGTTGAAATCAACGCGGCGGCGTGGCGTACGGACCCTGTATATAGGCCGCGCCCTCCGCACCGTGTCCCCTACGAACCCGCGCCCTTGCTTAGTCGAGTTGCGCGTTTTGCAACCACGGCCACATAGCGCAACCACGAAAGCCGCTCGACACTAACCTTGAAGACTCCTATAAGTATGTACTGAATCATTGGGGACACAGGTCTATCTACGGATACGGTAGCTGTTTTTATAAGATTCACAATTTGCATATTTACTTTTCGATGATTAGATATTTTTATTTGTTATATGATAAAGGGTAGAGATTTATTTGTGTGATCATGTTATTCGTCGCCAAACTGAATGTTCTGCGCGAGTTTGATGGCGCCGGAGCAGTTAATAGTGACGGTGGAGCGGCGCATGTAGGACTTCCACGCGTCGGAGCCGCACTCGCGCCCGCCGCCCGTCGCCTTCTCGCCGCCGAACGCGCCGCCCACCTCCGCGCCGTTCGTTGGAATGTTCACGTTCACAATGCCGCAGTCAGATCCGTGCGGACCGATCCACTGCGAACATAATAATAGCTAGTATCGAATACCACAGATAATACAATACACATAATTATTTCAATTAATTCACATAATAAGTACCTTAAATACGTTGCCCAAATTCTCGGTAAACAAACTGGAAGAGAGACCCTGGTCGACTTCGTTGTTATACTTGATGCCGGTGTCGAGGTCAGGGATCTCGATGCAGTAGACGATGGGCGCGAAGCATTCGCTCTTCACCAGCGGTGAGTCATGCGCAAGACCTGTGATTATTGTTGGTTCCACGAAATATCCCTCACGTTCGATCACCTGGAAATGTTAGGTTAGGTTAGTTGTTGTTACGTTACTTGTTATGTTAGGTCAAATCATGTTTTGTTTATATCCGTAATCCTAATTCGTGAATACGAGTAAAATTAAAAACGTTACATTACCAGACTTCGTTATTACCTTGCCACCGAATTCTATCTTGCCCCCTTGTTTGACTGCTTCAGCAACGGTCTTCTTGTATGCTTCTACAGCAGCCGCCGTGTGCAGCGGCCCTATCAGTGAACTCGATTCCAAAGGATCTCCGATCTTGCTCACGACTCCAGCGAAAGATTTCGCCAGCCTTGACACCACTTCTTTGTACAGCTACATACAGAAATGTTTAATCAATTTCAAGTTATAACAATAGAAAACTACATTATGACACAAAATAACAGCATAGTTAACCACTTAACAGACATTTTTTTTGCAATTTTTACAACAAATTTTAGACAAATCTTGTCACAAATTAACATTATTTGAACTTAAGTATTCGTCTGCAACTTGTGATATTGACATTTTCGTTTACCTTCTTATGAATAAACATCCTGCGCGTGGTGGTGCATCGCTGGCCCGCGGTGCCGGCGCACGCGAACAGCGCCGCCGACACCAGCAGATCCACATTCGCGTCCTCATTCACTATGATAGCGTTGTTGCCGCCCAGCTCTAAAAGGTGGCGACCGAAACGCTTCTGAACTTCAACACCAACCTACAACAAATTTAACAGCGCTGCAAGGAAATGTTTAACGATCGTTTTTGTGGCGTTTTTGCCTGTAGTTTTTCCTTTATTATTTATTCAACTAAAGTTTTTTACTCACTTGTTGACCAACGGCAGTACTGCCAGTAAATGAAACTAGTTTCATTCTCGGGTCTTGTACCAATTGTTGACCGATGTCTTTCCCACCCACGCAAAGCGCGGCTACTGCGCCAGGGATGTCGTTCTTCTTTAGCACACTCTCGACTATCTTGGTGACCGCAACAGCAACCAAGGGAGTAGTCTCAGATGGTTTCCATACGCTGGTATCGCCGCAAATCTAATAATATATAAAAAAAAACACACTATAAAAATCTATATCACTTAAAAAATCCCGCCATTATCAAATGTGAACGGAGTTTTTGTCTGATTTGTTATTTGAATCTTGAAACTTTAATATACAAAGAGGGCGAAAGTTAGCTAAAAGGAGAACTCGTGTAAATTTGAATATAGAGATAAAAGCAATTGTAATTTATTTCAAACCATTAAAGTCTATTGAATTCTTGTTTATCTATGCATATTTGTTCAAGTGGAAAACATTACTAAGTTTCTTTGTTGTAGGTAACGAGTTAAATGAGTTATAGGGAATGTTTTAAACTGTTCTTCCGTTGGCCTTGAGATAATATTGAATTAAAAACTATCAGTAATCGTAATACTTGTCAACTCGATTAAAATAACGCTATCAGACGTTTGTCTTTATCAAGAGATAGGCAACATTTAATTGGGTTAAAATCTGTATACACACTGAAATGACAATGTTAAGAAACTGCGAACATATTACGTAAATAACCAAGAATATTAAGAACAAAACAAAAACATTTATCGATATATAAACACCAATGTATTAGTGACTTCGTGACCTTTATGTCATAAATACGCAGTTGGATTGTTAAAGTTATCTTTTAAGATCAAATGAATTATTAAAGACCAAAATGTTGATAGAAAAATTACCATAGCAATAGCGCTGTTCCATCCAAATACAGCAATAGGGAAATTAAATGCCGTTATAATCCCAATAGCACCGAGGGGGTTCCATTTCTCTATTAGCATGTGTCCCGGACGCTCCGACGGGAACACGGTCCCCGGCAAAGACCGGGAGAGACCCAAAGCCAAGTCACATACGTGGATATATTCCACCACCTCGCCAACAGCCTCGGGAAGAATTTTTCCTTTTAAAATAAAAACATTTTAAAATATTGCATCATTCCGTGTCTGTAAATATTGTTCTTAACGTATTTGTTTCATAAAACTGACGTAAAGTTATTATTTTGTGATATTATGATTCGCGTTTTTTGTATATGTCTTAAAACTGAACTATTATGTACAAAATTAAGGGTACTGTAGATTCACAAATGTGAATAAAAAGCCTTCTTTAACACGGGAGTCGACGACAGCAGAAAAAAAACAGCTCTACAACAAAATTTTGCAGAACACGTCAATGTTATGGAAGTTCATTCAACCGATAAGCTTTATATCACAAGATAATGATATAACACAATTTGCTATCTGTTAACTCAGTTGGTGGCACATTAAGGAGTCCCTATTTACATTTATTGATTTTAAGTTAAATATGCTCTTTAGAATAGAGTTCACACTGTATTTAATTATCTAGTTTCTTACAACGATGTTTAGGATTAACTGATGTAAAACTGTACCCATTTCCAAGGAGACTAACTGTCCCAGTGGCTGTAGTTTCTCCCTCAATGCATCTCCGATTTGCCTGACAATCTCCCCCCTAGCAGGTGCTGGCAGATCAGCCCAGGAATGCCACGCGTCCTGCGCAGCCGCTGCACAAGCCTCATAGTCAGATGCACTCGCTCCTTGAACTTCGGCTATCACTTTACCGTTAGCTGGACTGATTGACTGGATTACCTAAGGGTACACAAATATTAAAATATTCTAAGTTATTTTGTCACAAGTAAAAAAGTGTCACAAGTACAAATTGACCTATAACTTTTCTATAAAGTTCCGATTAAAACGACTTATTTTTGTAAAATTCACTAAAAGTTATCGTAGATTTTGTTAATAAGACGATAGAAATATTGTACACACCACATGTGTAAATTTAATTACCATTTGTAAGGTACAATTGATCAAATAAACTATTTTTATTCGAACCACATATACAGTACCTATGATAATGGTGTTATCAGTTTATTTTCTTCCTAAAATGTATTAAATCTAACGATCCAGTATTTAAAAATTTAGTACGAAAGGAATAACTCTGATTCAAATAAATAAATAAAATTTTGTTAACACAACTTTGCTAAATGTTGTCTTCCTTTGTACTTTAAAAATGTATCACATACCTGGCCGTTAGCATCCCATTTTCCATTAAACACACCAACATTTTTCTTTTCCAATCCCAAATCTTTTAAGAAAGAATATTTAGGATCTTCAATCAAGTAGGCAGACATGTTTCGGGATAACGGCAGCTGTGAACGAAGAGTGAAAACAGTGCGGCAAAGTAAACGACTCATCGGTCCAGTTGTTACGGAGTTGTGTAGAGATATGAGTTGTTTTCCATTCAGATGCTTTAATTTATGTTATCAGTTAACTAACGAAGTATATGTACCTACACGTATTTAGGTACTATCGGTTGAATTATTTGATTATATTATTGCTGGGTACGAACTGGCAATTTTATTTACAATTTGTCCTATCGAAAAATACACTGTTTAATAAAAAGGTTGTCGATAACCTCAAGGCGTGCAGTTTCTCGGATAGTGCAAAGTAACTACGTATTCCTTATACAGCTTGCAAGGCGTGTTTGTAACTTGCAGTATAACAGGTTTGCGTAGTCATTTAGCACAGCTCTCACAATGCCAGCCCAGCTAAATCAATGCGGAACTGCAGTTAAGAAATATGATATCTTTGCATTTCTATAATGAATTAAAATGTTAGATTGCTTTTTTAATTAATGATACTAGTCTAGGAGTTTTTTGGCTATTCATAACTGTGGCACAGAACCACAGGGATTTCCAAGGAGGTTTGGAGCCGATGATCTAGAAGGCTGCCACCTATCCCTCTGCCTCGTGGGGCTTTCCCTCCCCACCCAAGCATATTAAAGACTACGATTGACTCCGATATCCAATTGAGCATCTTTCCAAAAATCTAACAGTGCTCGACAAGTTTTATCGGCATTGTACATACTTGCGTTTTCCATAGGTGAATCCGCAACTTCGCGTAGTGGAAAAGTGGTCAAGTTTACTAAGAATGGAAAGGGAGTTAAGAATCCATTCAGAAATTAAAACATACCTTCCTTAACATATTAAAAAGTGCTGCTTGATGAACAATGTTGCCAGACTTTACTTAACTTGATGTAAAAAAATATTATAAAATCAAACACAAAAATGTAATAAATATTTTTACTTAAAATAATAATTGTACTATTGTAGAATAGGTATTGTCTAATATTTTACACGAACTAAAAAAATTGTTAGTGTCACATTATTGTACAGAAACTATCACTGGTTTCTTCCATTTTTCCTTCTTTCATTTCTTTGGCTTTCTGTGCGAGAAAAGTATTTTCATCTCTTTTAGCCATCCACTCTGGCAGTGGTTTGTCCCAGTCGGTTGGTGGCGCATCACGTTTCTTCCATGTATCATTTCTATAGTGAGCTCTTAACCTTTCTAAACGACGTTGTTTTTCACTTTCTATTACAGCTACCTGTAACACAAAATTATTAGACTTTTTTAAATATCTTGACAACATAGAATATTGAATCAGTATCTTTAATACAATTTTAGGTGTGATGATGAATGAAGAGGGGGAAGCCTAGCAAAGGCTGAATTTAATGTAACAAAATATTAATTCAAATAATACAGTTAGTAGCCTATCATAAGTATAAAGTGATTTTATAGTAAAAAACATTACTATTAGTTAACTTACACCAGCTTTAACATCTTCACTTTTCTCCCATTTGCAGCAATTGTCATAGTCTTTTTTCCATTGATTGCAGTCAAGTGCCTCGCCAAAGATAAAATACTGGTGAAATCTTCCCCGGAAACTTGTACATTCTTTGTACTCATCTTTGTATACTTCACAATCTCTGATCTGGAAAAATAGGATATTTTTACAAATTTCTGTGTAATTAGCAAGAATTATTAATATACAGGTGTATTGTGAATCATTTGTTTTTTATCAAACCTGGTCTATTTTATGACATTATACTTAAGTAATTAATTACAGGCAGGATAAGGTTAAGGTTCTCTTACATAAGTGTTTTAAAATAATAAAAAGAGTACCAGCCACTTTTCATCTGGGTTTATTGACGGTTCTGTGGATTCGGAAGGTGTATTATCTCGATCTGTTTTGTCTGCAACCGTTTGCGACATTTTAAATTCAGTAGAATTTAATCTTTCGTCAAGTTTCCTTTAGGCAAAAACTTGCGTAACTCATGAAATTTATTTTTGATAAACTTTTCATGGATTTGGTTCCGCAACATACATTTTTTCACATATGATTTATATCACATGTATTATATAAATACTTCAAATATTTCGCGTTTCGTATAAGAATAGGATATTTAATGTTTTTGTATCAAATTATAACCTAAAACCATGCCAGAGGCGAAATGTCACAAACGTCAAACTGTCGACAATCAGCTGGTGATTTTTGTTTGTTTCCTTTTTAGACGGAGATCATGGAATTAGTGAAAATAGTTTAAAACTTTGTAATAGTTATGCAGTTTTGATTTACACAATTTTCTTACAGAGCGTTTAAGTAAGAAATCATTTTTTTAACAAACACACCAAAGGAAATTATATAAGCTGTGCAAAATTGACAAAAGCTTTTGTCTTGCTGACATTTGTGTTTGATTTTTCTGTTTTATTTACATCTTAAACTTATCTCAATTTGTTATCGTCATGCCCTTTGTACCGAATTAACGTTTTACTGTTACAATCTACACTGTATAGCTTTAAAGTGTTTTAGAATATTAATATCAACATGTCGCTCAATAAATTAGTTGGAAGTGATTGTGGTGGGAACAATTCCCTTGTTAAATTATCGAACATTGTCAGTCGGGATGTTGCTATTTCGCAACCAATATCACAATCTGATAGATTGGTGAATGAATTCCTAGCACAAAATTCTCAAGTACCACAAACATTTAATATGAATTCACTACTCAACAATGTACCTGAAATTGAGGCTACCAAACAACATGCTATACCTCATCATACAACAAATCAAATGCATACAATCAGCTCCCATATTCATTCGCCTTGGTTACCAGGGCCGTCATCTTCTTACATGCCTCCAACAGGTGTATTGCGTACATTCCAGGCTCCACTTCCATCTGTATCAAGACAGCAAATGTTACCAAATGTTAGTATTCAATACATGGATGAATCTGAATTAAAAAATGCTGATGACAGTGATGTGCGAGCGAAAGCTCAGGAATATGTTGAAACAGTTGATGATGAACAAGCGTATAATCAATTTATGTCATTTATGAAGCGCATTAGTGCTGGGGAGTTAAATCTTGGGGAATCTGAACAAGATCAAAGAGCAATGGGTAAAGACAAAATAATTGATGAAATGGCAGAGAAATATAAAGATGAATGGGCTAAATTAAGTGATATGACTGGTGATTGGAAGTTATCAAACAGTGATGGAATTACAGAAGAATATACATTTACAGATGGAAATGTCATGTTAGAAAACAAAAGTGCTTTCGAACTTGGGAAAGAAAAATTAAAAATGGGAGATATACCTGGAGCTGTGCTTTGCTTTGAAGCTGCTGTGCAGCAACAACCTGATTCTGCTGAAGCATGGTTTTACTTGGGAACTACACAAGCAGAGAATGAACAAGATCCCTTGGCCATCACAGCATTAAAAAAATCCCTTTCAATTGATCCAAGGCAATTAGAAGCTTATATCACTCTAGCAGCAGCCTACACTAATGAAGACATGCCTAAATTTGCATTTATTGCTTTATCTAACTGGTTGAATGCAAGTCCTAAATACAGTGACCTTTTGCCCAGAGATGTAGAAATTCAGAATTTAGACTTAAAAGAATTAGAAAATCATGTGAAATCATTGTATTTAAGAGCAGCACAGATGAACCCATCAGAGATAGATCCTGATGTTCAAAATGCACTTGGGGTTATTTTCAATATTAGTCAAGAATATGATAAAGCAGTAGATTGTTTTCAAACTGCTCTAATGGTGTCAAACGAAAATGCAAAGTTATGGAACAGACTTGGTGCCACTCTGGCTAACAGTAACAGATCAGAAGAAGCAGTAAATGCATATCATGAAGCTCTTAATTTAGAGCCAGGGTTTATAAGAGCTAGATATAATGTTGGTGTAACTTGTATGAATTTAGGTGCACATAAACAAGCTGCTGAACATTTCCTAGTTGCTCTAAACCAACAAAATAAAGCTAAAAACTTGCACCAAGACACATTAGCATCTAATATTGGATCTTCAACTATCTGGTCAACATTAAGAATGGTTTGTTCTTTCATGGGTAATCATGAAGCGGCAAGTTTAGTTGATGACAGAAAATTAGATGAGCTCAATAAACACTTTGAATTGGATGCTTAAAGTGGTAATGCTAAATTTTTTTTCATTTGTTTCTTGGGGAAAAACACAGTTTTAAGAATTTATGAGACAGGAAAGGGTTTGTATAATAATTGTTATAAGGTGCTAAGTGTAATAAAATGTTAACAATTATATTATATTAAATTGTGTAAAACACGGATCTATTTTTGTATTTGACATTTTTATTTCTTAACAAAATGGTGATAATATTGTTGTTTAGACCAATTTTTGTTCTCTTTAGGTAATTACATAGCGAATAAATTATCTTGAACAAATGTTCTTTTTTACTTCTTAGTTGAATTAATATAGAAATATGAAAGAAATATTTGTCAACTGATTGTGTGTAGAAAACTGCAACTACTGTCACTTAAGGGGCAACCTTGTGGATGATTTTTAAAAAACCAACAAGGTTTTATTTGTATTCTTACAGATGAACTTTTGTTTCTCTGCATTTTAATAGTTTTCATAATATCTTCAACAGATTTTGGATGTCTTAATTGGACTTTCCCTTTTACCACTTTAAAAATGTGGTGGTTATTCTTTAACAATGTTTGTAATCCTCCACATTCTGTTTTCAAAGCTTTTAAAGTATCTGCCGATATTTGATCAACGACTTCCCCAATAAGTACTTCCCTACCTGGGTTCCATTCATCCTTAAAATTGCAACCATCTAAGAGAAATTTGGTAATATTTGTAACAACAGTTTCAATAATTGATTTTTCAATTTGAGTGCAATTTTTTACTTTCTCTATAGGGTTTCTAGCTTTAAAATTACTGCCATTGTTTGGGCTATCAAACGCTTTACCCATATTAATTATCTCTGAAATTATCTGTTTATATGCTTCATATTGATCTTCATCATATTTCCTAGTCCTACCAATAAGACAAATCCTTTTTGTACTTGGTATTTTAAGTCTATCTATTTCAGTATTGAAACCACAATCCTCACATAGCTTGTAGATATAATCTAAATATTCATTATATTGACTTTTTGATGAATTCTGTCTTTGATACTTTGTACCATCAAAATTATATGCACAACATGGAAGTAAAAAGAAATTGCAATCATAGGAACATCTTGATGCCATAACTGGAATCCATGGTGTGAGTTCATCAGAGTGATTTCCTATTATCCAGTCAAATGCTTTGAAATCTTCTATATTTTCTGGTGTGACAGTTTTTTCCTGAAATTAATAAAATCAATTAAAACCGATTTATAAGCTAAAAATAATGTCTTTACTACATTACTTACTTCAAGTTGTATATTGTCATACATGTCCCAAATTTTTCTTTTTCGTACATCTACTCCCAATCCTTTATGTCCTTCTTTTGTTAAAATATATACAAGCAAGCCATTACCGCAGCCAATGTCAACAAAAGTTACTGGTTTTTTAGATGCATTATCATGGTTATTGTCCCAAAGGAGGAGTAAGTAAGTGGCGATAGCAACATCCTCAAACACAAACTTGGTAGGATCAGTGCTTTCTGGCCAAATCTATAATAACAATTATATTAAATAGAAAACCATAAATAACAATTTCACACTTAATTGTTTGCAAAATGACTTACCTCAACCATTGCCTTCCCATATTTTAGCTTTAAACTGTTATAGGTGATATAATATTTATCATTAGGAACAAGAGCCAAAGAATCTTTGATATTTACTGATTTATTACATCTGGTAACTAAATCTTGATCCATCCATTTAATGATTTGCGGCAATACCTTAAGTTGTAACCATTGCTGAGATTTACCATTGTCATCTGTAAGTTAAAATTATTTTAAGATTGTAAACAGTCTAAGAAAATCTTTATAATCTTATAAAAATACTACTGATAAGTAAAACTAACCATTACATGCTTTCATTATTATGTCCTCATTAATCAGCTGAAAGCTGTAAGTAAAATTTGGGCATAGATTTTGATTATAGTGTTTTGGTGTAACATCATAAAATGTTGCAATCAGTTCATCCTTTTTCAAACAAACTAATTGGAAACCATGGCTGTCTGTGTAATTTTTTGGCAATAATTCCAATAAGATTATTTCTACACATCTATTCTCCCCTTCTACAATATTGTTTTCATTCAGTGGTTTGAGTTTAGTTCTTAGAAATAATTCTTCCATAAAACCAAGTGCTTCGTTTGTATTACTTAAATACAAATCGTTTGATTCAATTTCATATTTATATTCCCCATCTGCACCTTGGCATGTATATTTAGAAAGCAAATTACAACCCCATAATCTTTTATTAACAACATGAGGTTTATTTACTAGTATATTAATCGCCTGCCAAAAAGAAACAACTTTAGGTGCGTCCATCGCCGAGTTACATTAATTGTTGAGATTTCATATATTTTCAATTGGGAAACTAAGAAAAATTGATAAACTAACTAAAACACATGTTCTTTATTTGTTTTGATAAATTGTCAGAATGATGTGACAGTTGGCATCAAAGAGTATGGCATTTTAAGAAATTCAAAGAACAGCATCGCCTCGCCTTTTTGCCTGTCTAACGAAACCGCAGATACAAAATGGTAAACAGTTTTCGAAAAGGGCCCGAAACATTTGAAGTAAACATAAGATTTTATTGAATTTATGATCGGGGATCAAAAAATTTTTTGAGGTAACTTTCAAGATCGTGGTACTTCTGAATATTACTCTATACTCTATGGCAAAAATGTCACTGTCAAATGTCAATATAAATGTCAAAAGTTGATTTCACAGTTTTGTGTTTTACAATAAAAAATTGAAATAATAAACACAAGGAATATTTTTAGTTTTAGTAAAACAGTTCTGACGCTTGATAGTGTACAAACTGTTACGGGCTTTATTAATTAATTGATGACTAAATTTTAGACCTGTATATGTAGGTAATGTCATACACTGAGCTTGAACATGGATACCAAGGCTTGCGGCATGCTTCTCAGCCACAGTTTTACGTCGGAAATGATGGAAATTTGGTACCAATAAGATCACCCGTAAGAAATTCATCACTTTCTTTTCAGTTTTTGCTTATGTGTACGAACTTTGAATGTTAGAATATGAGATAGTTAATATTCACATCATGTTTAGAATAAGTAGTTTAAGTACTATAATCAATTCATTTTAAATTATACAGCTTAAATTTACCATACGATTATCTGTACCACCAAACTTACTGTTAAAAAAGTAATAGTGTGAATACTTCTTAATCTGTCCTACACAGACAGAAATATCTAAAATAAATATTAGCAGTCCACTTTACTCTGAGTCACGCAAGGAATGTTAGTCTTTTAAAAACTGCAAAAATTATTTTGTTGATTTATAATAGCTATATAACTATCATAAATATGTAGAGTAAGGATTATTACACTGTAGTGACAATGACAAGTGAGGTAATGTATGTTAATTTGTCAAGTTTTATCATAGTTATCATGCGTAAAGTGACAGGAACCAATCAGAGAGTAGTGCTGTTGTTGCTATCATATAGAAATTGATAAGTGTGTTAGAAGTGATAATTACAATAATATAGTGAGTGGTGATGGAGTGGCAATGGCTGAAAGACTGGTGGCGACTTAAAAGATGGAGGAACAAAAAAAAAGAACAAAACGGAGATGACTTTTGTTTTTGTGATGATTGTTTACCTGATGTGAGATAACAGATCTATTTATGCTATTGTCCTTGCTTGTGAATGCTAACATTGTAATATAAATTGTTTGTTGTTTATTGCACTTTATCTTTTTATAATTAAATAATGCTCATTAAACAATATTAGGTTCAATATTACATTTACAAGAATGTCTTTAATAAAATTTTGTTTATCCAATTATCAAATTTATTTTACAAAATAATACAGATCACAGAATCGTTAACTAAAATATGATTACTAAACATAAATTATTTAAATCCCAAGCTTGCTACATCTGGATTTAAAGAAATTTAATTATAATTGGTACATAACCATTTTTGTACTGTTAAAATATGATATGACTATAGAATATTAGGTCTCTCAAATTTAAAAAAAACCTTCCATAATTAATTATGAAAACACTGATAAACTACATAACACTGTTATTGCTGACTCTTTATAGCCAAAATTGCAGTTAATAGGCAGTAGTTTTATAAGAGCTTTGTTGCAGGGCGAGTTGGAGCTGTGCGAGTCCCCGGAGGCGCAGTGCGATGGCGGCAAGAAGGTGGCGGTCGGCGTCTGCGCCATGGCCAAGAAGTCGCAGTCGAAGCCCATGAAAGAAATACTTACCCGTCTTGATGAGTTTGAATACATCAAGATGATAGTTTTCCCAGAGGAGGTTATCCTTAAGGTTCTGCACACTATCTAACCTCAGTAGTGGAATAAAATATTTTAATAAGGGAATGGCTTTTTAAATTAAGCGGTTTTCATAATTTTTAAAAGGCCTCAAATGGATCGTAAGGATGGAAATGCCTATTTTGTTTCACTACATATGATTTTAAGATATTTCACAATTAACCTGGTGTTAAAGTGTTTGAGACTACACATACCCACACTTTTCATCTGCGGCACATTTCTGCTTGCATGTTAAAAATGGCCTAATTTTCATCAGTGCCTTCTCATTTTCACTATAAATCATTATAACATTGAAAATGTTTTTTATTTTTGTCCTTTATGGCTTTTTCTACATGTATTACAATGTTAAATTTATTTCAGAAACCTGTAGAGGAGTGGCCAATCTGTGATTGTTTAATCTCTTTCCACTCGAAAGGCTTCCCCCTTGATAAAGCCATTCAATACGAAAAGTTAAGGAAGCCATATGTTATAAATAACTTGCATATGCAATATGATATACAGGTAATATCTTGCTAGACTTATTGGCCTTTCTATTTAAATTTATAAGACTATATTTCTACTTTATATTCAACAGGATCGTAGAAAAGTATACGCAATATTAGAAGGTGAAGGTATAGAGATACCGAGATATGCGGTCTTGGATAGAGATTCACCGGACCCAAAACGTATGTTAGAATGTTCTAGACTTTACTTACGATTGCTTTTGTAACATGAGTAGTTATATTGTCGTTTGTTGTAGATCACGAGTTAGTGGAATCTGAAGATCACGTGGAAGTGAATGGTGTTGTGTTCAATAAACCCTTCGTGGAAAAGCCGGTGTCGGCGGAAGACCATAATATTTACATTTACTACCCAACCTCAGCTGGAGGCGGTAGTCAACGGCTGTTTAGGAAGGTACGAGAAAATATTTTTTGCGTAAATTGTCTGTTATACGGATATTTAATGAGTTATATTGTTACAGATTGGTAGTCGCAGTAGTATTTATTCTCCAGAATCTAGAGTAAGGAAAACTGGTTCGTTTATATATGAAGACTTTATGCCTACAGATGGTGAGTGAAATAAATTATGTATTAACCTTTTATTCTTTTTTTTTCAATTAAATTACTAGATTCCAATTTAAGATATAAGAAATAAAATCGTAATTACGTAGGAATATTACATAACATCGTATTACATAGTGTTTCCCTATAGGTTGCATCGTAAATAACACGCACACAAAGCAACTGACATATGCAACAAATAATTCACAGTTAGTTTATTTTGAAATTCAACATGCAACTGTTTCTATATACAGCATAATCGTTTCGAAGATTGCAAACATTTCACAGTTGGAAGTTTCTCTGTACTTACCTTATGCAAGAGATTGATTGAAATATTTGAATCAGGCACAGATGTGAAAGTGTACACGGTGGGGCCGGATTATGCACACGCGGAGGCTCGGAAGAGTCCCGCTCTGGACGGGAAAGTGGAGCGAGACTCTGAAGGCAAGGAGATCAGATATCCCGTCATACTCTCCAACCAAGAGAAGCTGATCTCGCGTAAGGTCTGCTTGGCGTTCAAGCAAACTGTGTGCGGCTTCGATTTATTGAGGTAATCTATACTAATATTATAAAGAAGAAAGATTTGTATTTTTATATATATTAAAATAACTCAAAAACTACTAAGTCAATTTAAAAAAATCTTCCACCATTAAAATGCAACATTATCGGTGAGTAACATAGGCTATATTTTTAATAACATTTTAATTTCACGCGAAGTCGCGTGCAACAGCTAGTACTTGAATATAGCTAGAAAATGCGTGGTTAGGAAATACAGGTGACATACAAAAAATTGCGTGTTTAAGTTTAATATTAAAATTTCCATTACCTAATACCACAAAGACGTCAGTCTTATAAGCAACCTTTGGGAAAACTTGTATACGGTATATAGTAATTAAATTATTTAAACTTTCGTGAGACATTTTATAATTATTTAACGGTATTCAGTATTTTAAAATCTTCTATAGGTATGGTGTTGAGCGGATTTTAGTTATTTTTAGTTGTTTTAATAATATTTGCTTTAACGGTAGTAAGTACATAAAGTGTACAAAGTGTGATGATTACAGTTTAAACAAATTTGTTGCTACATTAAAAATAACTGTAATATCAGTGTCGTAGTATAAAAAATGAACGTATGACGCAAATGTCTTGGCTGAAACCCAATTTTGCTTGTACATTGTAAATCGCCAGAGATAACTGATAGGCAACCTTGACTATGAATATTTGTCGGCATAATTTGATGGAAATATTTTTTACCTAATCATCACCTACTTGTTTAGTTTTAAAAAAACTGATTGTATAATGGAATAATTAAAGACATGGTTATATTTTATCTGCATAAGTTTATAGGAATATTATGTTAAAAGTTATGGAACCTGAATTACTGGGGAAGGTAGTTTATAATTTGAGCTCAACAACCAGACGCCATTTTTTATTTAGTGGAATTAACAAAACAATAGTAATTTTGGTACCAAACTTAATATTTATTTGGAATATGTTTTGTCCACAGGGCGAACGGCAAATCGTTTGTATGCGACGTGAACGGTTTCTCGTTCGTAAAGAACTCGAACAAGTACTATGACGACTGCGCCAAGATCCTGGGCAACATGATACTGCGCGAGCTGGCGCCCACCCTCCACATCCCCTGGTCGGTGCCCTTCCAGCTCGACGACCCGCCCATAGTGCCCACCACCTTCGGAAAGATGATGGAGCTGCGCTGCGTCGTCGGCGTCATCCGGCACGGGGACCGCACGCCCAAGCAGAAGATGAAGGTCGAAGTGCGACATCCAAGGTATACATCAACATGCTTTGTATCTTCCATTCGGTTTATTTCCGACCGTCGCCCCGCTCTGTCCCCACGTGATAATAAAAAGGCGCGTCCGTCCGACCTTTTGGTCCCACTGTCACCAATAAGGTGACAGATGGAACTGTTATGAAATAAGTTCCAAGCATCCCCTCGTCGCAAACGGACATCATGTTCTCGACGGATGAATCTTTATATTCTCACCTATGTCTACGTTGGGACAGAGCGGGGTGATGGTTGGGAATAATCCTTCCATTCTTTTGTTGTCAGTCGTTTTATTTTAATTGATTTCATTATTACTTATAAAAAACTACCAACCAGGCTCTCTACTATCAAAATCTTATATTCTAGTGACTTAACCTTAAGGTATTCAAAATTCTTCTTCGGTATGTAGTTCTCATTAGAGAGAAAGTGAAATACTATATTTCAATGCATACTAATCGTATATTTAACCATAGATGTGTGTAGTAATGTTTTAATTTCAAATGTTCAGATTCTTCGAGATATTTGAGAAGTACGAGGGCTTCAAGCGCGGGCACGTGAAGCTGAAGCGGCCCAAGCAGCTGCAGGAGATCCTGGACATCTCCCGCGCGCTGCTCGCGGACATACACACGCGACACGCAGACCCTGAGATAGAGGAGAAGCAGGGCAAGCTAGAACAGCTCAAGAGCGTCCTCGAAATGTAACTTGTTCTTCTATGTTAATCATTACTGCCTTTTAACCGCCACTTGTGTGGCATTTACAATACAAAATAAGTAGCCTGTGTGTTCCTTGAGACTATGTCCTATATCTATGCCAAGTTTTATTAAGATCCATTCAGCTGGTCCGGACATACTTTCTAACAAACATCCATCCATCTATCTGAACTTTCGCATTTATAATATTAGCAAGATCTTTTTTCTTTTGTACCTTAAACAGCTAATGTAATAAGCTTAATTCAAATGACGCAAACATTTGAGAGTTTCTGTACAATCTAGATGTATTCCCGCGTAATTTATCTCAATTTTAATGATTTATGTATTTTTTAAAGGTACGGACATTTCTCGGGCATCAACCGCAAGGTGCAGATGAAGTACCAGCCGCGCGGCCGCCCGCGGGGCTCCAGCTCCGACGACGGTAACGCACCCGTCACCCCCGCCACCGCCACCGCGCATGGTCTGCATGATATGCTTCTATCTCGCTCACACGCTAACCCGTATGCTATACTTCTCTCTCGCTCATACGCACACCCATATACTATATTTCTTTTTCACTCACACGCACACATATGTGCTATACTTCTGTCACGCTCATACGCACGCCCGTGTACTAAATTTTTTCTCGCTCACACGCACACCTATATGCTATACTTCTCTCTCGCTCATAAGCACACCCGTATGTTATATTTCTCTCCCGCTCAAACGCACACCCGCATGCTATACTTCTCTCACGCTTATACGCATGCTTTGTTTCTTACTTGCTTACACACACACACCCACATCCTATTCTTCTCTCTCGCTCACACACATTGTATATTATGATAATATTTAAGAAAGTAATCTTAGATCAAGGCCAGTTTTTATCATTAATTTGCTTGCTACATCTTGTAGACAGATTGCAAATAAAGTTTGATGTAAATATTTTCTTTATAAAAAATCTCAAAGCATGTGTAAACTTAAAATAGTTACTGCGTTTATTGTGATTTAATTTGCATCTTTTGGTAACCTTGAGATTTAATTTTTAAAATATTACTATAAAAATATATATTTTTTTATTTGCGGATATCCTTGCATTCCAACAGCAATCTCTTACTATGGTATGGATAATAATGTTATAGATGTGTAGATGTAGTGTTGTTGCAGCAGGCAGTGGGGGCGGGGGCGGCGGCGGCGGCGGCGGGGGCGGCGGCGAGCCGTCGCTAGTGCTCATCCTGAAGTGGGGCGGGGAGCTGACGCCCGCAGGACGTATACAGGCCGAGGAGCTCGGCCGCATGTTCCGCTGCATGTACCCTGGAGGACAGGGAAGGCATATACCTGGTAAAATATGCATAATTACTTAACACTTTATATTTAGAATGTGGAGGGGTACACCGGTAGAGGTAGACCTTGAAAGAGATTGATAGATTGCGTGAAAGGTGACATGATCAAGAATGATCAGGAGTGGTGGTGGAAAAAACCCGGTGCGCCGACGCTACGGGAGTAGGATAAGGCTGGAGGAGGATGATGATGACTTAATATTTAGCTGTACCCGTGCGGCTTAATTCACATGAAATCATAAAAATTTTATTTAAATGTTCACATTTGTGAAATTTACAAGGTTACTATGGCAACCTTGATGGTATTAGCTTGCAGTTTTTGTCTCTTTCCCACATGAGGTTTTTTCAAATTATTTACTCCCTAAGTTTATAGCGTGAAAATGTAGGGCTTTTTTTTTTTAAAGAAAAGATTATTAAAAAATTTAATGTGGTTGCTGATATATCAATTCTATTTCTCATGTTTCCAGGTGAAGGAAGTACGCAAGGATTGGGCTTGCTTCGTCTACACTCAACATTTCGACATGATCTGAAGATATATGCGTCGGACGAGGGGCGTGTGCAGATGACGGCCGCGGCCTTTGCCAAGGGTCTGCTGGCACTGGAGGGCGAGCTGACTCCCATCCTGGTGCAGATGGTCAAGTCTGCCAATACTAATGGACTGCTCGATAATGACTGTGATTCATCTAAAGTACAAAATATGTAAGTGACCTTCGCAAGAGACCCCTTTTATATATTTTCTTCTTTTTGTGTTACAAGCCGCTTATCATATCTTTCCTACAGTAAATGGTGCTTTTATTTTGATTTACAATAAAATAAGTAATCATTAAGAAGTTTGAGATTCGGTGGTTGAAAAATTAAGGAATAAAAGGTTGGCATGTTATGGGCATGTTATGAGGCATGAATTGCACGTAAGAAGGACATAATGAGTGTAAAGGTACACCGGTAGAAGTAGAAAGAGATGGATGAATTCCGTAAAAGGTAACATGATCAAGGAAGTTATGACTGAGATGAAGGATCATAAAATTATTTGGAGGAGAAAAACCCGTTACTCCGACCCTACGGGAGTAGGATAAGGTAAGGGAAATGATAAGTCTAGGGCACGGAAGATTGCGTAAGTTTTTGCGATCTAGTCACAAAGTTGTGTAGCCGGTGAGATCCACATATCCTCCTTGAAACGGGAGGGATGTGGATTCCCAACTTTAAAAAGGGAGATGATGATAATGATGATGATGATGAATGAAATGCGACGTAGGGCGAAGGCGCGGCTGCACGAGGCGATGCAGGTGGACCGCGAGTTCACGGAGGAGGAGCGGGCGCGCATCAACCCGTGCGCGTCGCTGAGCATCAGCGCGGCCATGCAGCTGGTCAGCAACCCCGTGCGCTGCTGCGCGCACGTGCACGCGCTCATACAGCGCCTCGTGCGCATCGTGCTCGCCAAGCGCGACGACCCCAAGACCAGAGGTGACCCTACGATCGTGTTCTACGTACCCTTTAAAAAAAAACACTGTATCTACTGCGAAATTGTATACTGGTTACATACTTAATGCTAACTATCGGATTATTTTTATTACTGATTTTTATTCATACAGAACAATTTTAAAATACACACAAATAAAGCCCCGCATACACCATGTCATTGGTTTGTCTGTTTGATTTTGTACAATAAATTTCGCAGTAGTAAAAGTGTGTGGGTTTTTTTTTAAATTGACCCACGGAAAACAGAAAAAAGTCGAATAACGATACACGGGTAGTTTCTTTTTATTATTCGTTTGCACTCACTGCTATCTAATTAGCCATCTGTTGGTAAAGGTGGAGTTTGTCTCGTTGCAATGAACAAATCATTTTGTTTCTTAAGTGAGACACCGCGGATTTCCGCTACTGTACATATTCACGTACTCAGACAGAAACACCTACACATAGGCATAAATATGCAATGTTTCTTAATATCCAATTTATTCGTTTTGATTTATTATAATATGCTTTTAATATACTAATTACATCTTAATAGATACAATTCTATACCACGGCGAGACTTGGGAGCTAATGGGCCGCCGCTGGGGCAAGATAGAGAAGGATTTCTGCACGAAGAACAAGAGTTACGATATATCTAAGATCCCGGACATCTACGACTGCATCAAGTACGACTTGCAGCACAACCAGCACACGCTGCAGTTCGAGCAGGCCGGCGAACTCTACATATACGCCAAATACTTAGCGGACATTGTTATACCACAAGTAAGTATTTATATTATTTACCTAATTATGATTCCTTTTCTTAAGTGGATTTGATAATGGAGGAAGGGCAAATATCCTTGTTAAGTTGTCTTCTTCCTCTTTGATTAAGGTAGGCAACGCAACTATAATTAGAGATGTCTATGGGCAACGGTCGTTTCGCCATTTCGTCGGATTCAGGTGGCCGCTTGCTCGTTTGCCACCCTATAATAAAAAATACACTGTCTACCTCATAGTGGTTACGTAGTCGCTAAGTAGACAATTCGTAGAAAGAATTCTGTTAGAAACATAAACACTTCGACATAAATAGCCTCTTTGTTCAAGACTAAACAGAGACCAGAATATATCTATAGGCTCATGTTTCCATTGTTTTTGACACAACTGATATTTTTTTTTCTATACAGAGGTTTTATATTTAGTTTTATTTTTTTAGGAATACGGTTTAACGGTACAAGAAAAGCTGACCATAAGTCAAGGTATCTGCACGCCGCTGTTGAAAAAGATACGAGCGGACTTACAAAGGAATATCGAAGAATCCGGCGAAGAAACTGTTAACAGGTTAAATCCGAGGTATGATTTTGAGCCTTGGTTTCTGATTAGTTTTTTTTTAATTCCTTTATTTCAAATTTTTTACAATATGTTTACATCATAATTTCCCGCCAAAATACTTACGTGTTTTAAACTCATTTATATTATCTATACTATTATAATAAAGCGTAAATACACATTTCTTAGTTATATAGGATATTAGCAATCACACCGTATTTTTGATAAATTCTTTGTTTAATAAAAAGCCGTACACTTACGGCACGCTATAGGCTATGTATATTCACGTTATTTAATTTAATGGGGTGAATAATCTGGAACAAATTAGTCAGACGTGAAATGCTAAATTAGTAACAAAAAAAAATTATTAAACGACGAAGGCGTAAACTTGGGCTAACAATTACCGCTCTCATGGTATCGTTTCTTTGCTCTTATTGGCTTGTAATTTTTGTTTGATTTTCGAATTTCACATGTACTTTACCCAACGTTCTACGGTGAAGGAAAACATCATGATGCCTGCATATCCACGAAGAAATTCAAAGATATATGTTAACCAAACCCGCAGTTAGCCAGCATGGTTGGCGGCATTACCCCTAAGGGTAGACTCAGAGTCCCTCAATGGGGACGTATGAGTTGGTGATGTCATCACTGTGCTTGTTGACGTCCTAATTACGATTGCTACAGCCGTAGGATCGAGAAAAAAACAATTAACTTATAATTATTTATTATAATAGAAATTACAATTTAAATCTTATTTGCTAACTAATCTAACTATCCAATTCGAAGTATGAATTTGGAATAATGTTTTATTGTTTAAATCACATAACATTGCCTCGGGTCACGTTATGTAGCATCAGCGGTTAGCGCCTCGTGTCTTCAAATTTAGGTCGCATCGATGTCAATGCTGCGTACGCAGTATTCCTTGTGGCTATGTATGTAACATCCTGCATAACAAATTAGTGTGTTTACGTTTTATATTAGTATAGGTGTTGTGTATGAGTTGTATGTGAGAGGTGTAAGTGCGGGGCGTGTGGCAGGTACAGCCACGGCGTGTCGAGCCCGGGCCGGCACGTGCGCACGCGCCTCTACTTTACCAGCGAGAGCCACGTGCACTCGCTGCTCACCGTGCTGCGCTTCGGCGGACTGCTCGACGTGAGGCACACACACACACAAATATCTATACTTCTATACTAATATTATAAAGTGGAAATAAATTTTTGTATGGATTGAAATAACTCAAAAACTACTGGGTTGATTTTAAAAGTTACACCTTTCACCATTATAGAGGTAATTTATCTGTGAGTAACATAGGCTATATTTTATAATTTAACGGGGACTAAGTCGCGAGCAACAGCTAGTAATATTATAAATAGGAAAGATTTGGATTTTTGTATGGATTGAAATAACTCCAAAACTACTGGGACGATTTCAAAATCTCTTACACCATTAAAAGGCTATGTTATCACCAAGTAATATACGTTTAATTATTTTTTTAATCCTTCACAGGCGAAGTCGCGAGCAACTAGCTAGTCTATAATAAACCATATCCTAGCTAGATTGCTTTTAAAGAAAAGCATAACAATTACATACAGAAAGATGATATTTCTCCTTCATATAGGAAGAGGAACTCAGGAATTCTCCGTTAATTTCAGTTCAATACAAGCTTCTTGTATAAGAAATAAGTGAAAAGAGCAGTAATTTATAGTAAAGTGTGGTAACACTATTCTCGAATAGTGTCTTAGGATGGTTTGTTTTATATTTCCAGGTGCTCAAAGATGAGCAATGGCGTCGAGCAATGGAGTACGTGTCAATGGTGTCGGAGCTGAACTACATGTCTCAAATCGTCGTCATGTTGTACGAAGATCCAACTAAAGATCCCTCATCAGAAGAAAGGTAATATTTTCACAATTAAATCTTACTAGTATTATAAAAACAAAAATTTAGATGGATGGATGGATGACGTTTGCCCCCCTTCTCTTATAAAAAAAATGTTTGTTTGAATTTGTAGCCTAAACGGCTGAACGGATCTGGATGAAACTTGGCATAGACGTGGAGGATTATCTGGAAAACACATAGGCTACTTTTTTTAATTTCACGCTGAAAGCGTCGCGGGCGAAAGCTATATTATAAAACTATAAAAAAATGAATGTACTAAAGATGCTTAAAAGGCGCGTGGGTTGCAGGTTCCACGTGGAGCTGCACTTCAGCCCCGGCGTCAACTGCTGCGTGCAGAAGAACCTGCCCCCCGGCCCCGGCTTCCGCCCCCACAGCCGCAACCACTCCACCACCAACAACTCGGTGAACACAACTATTCACCTTTCATATCTTAATTTCATTAAATATTTATCTAGCCTTCATCGACGTGACAAAAATTCCAGAACCTCAACTCTATAGAAGAGTTCTTATAATATTAGGCACAAACCCGCAGTAGGCCAGCGTGGGTGACTAAGAGGATTATTCCCAACCGTCGCCCCGCTCTGTCCCCATGTAGAGACGGATGATAATAAAAAGTTTAATCCATCCCACCTTTTGTTAAGAGGGGACGGTTGTAACTTATTTTATTTCATAACGGTTCCATCTGTCACCTTATTGGTGATAGTAGGACTAAAAGGTGGGACGGATAAAACTTTTTATTGTCATGTGGGGACAGAGCGGTGTGACTGTTGGGAATAATCCAACTAAAGCCTACCCTTTACTTAGGGCAGGCCCCGAGCCCCTCAGTGGGGGCGTTTACTGACCTGGTAATGAATCTATACTATCTATCATATACTAGTATTATAAAGAGGAAAGATTTGTGTTTTTGTATGTATGGGAAAAACTCAAAAACTACTGTAATGCTTTCAACTTCTTTCGCTATTAAAAAGCTACGTTATAAGTAACATCTATATATTTGTTTTTTTTTTTAATATCACGCGGACGAAGCCGCGAACATTAGCTATTTAATAAAACTCTAATGTAACTTTTTCAGAGTTCGTCTGATGAAGTGAAGTGCATAGAAGAGGAAGGAGAAGACGATCAGATGGCGAGTCAAGAAACATTGCAACCGGTAAAAGTTAACCTTTTAGAGCATATTCCATTGTTTTTTGAGGTCAAAAGTGTCATAGAACTTGTGTTTGTAGACAAATACTGATGTTTAACATGTATTTTCTATGTTACAGGACACTTTGGATTATATGGACAGTGCTTTCTCGCTCAAAAGTGCTTTGATGTCGAAATTGAGACCTTCTGATCCCATACCGATATGGTAAGTGACCAGTTAATACCAATTTTGACTAATTGCCCCAGATTTTTATTTCACATGTTTCTTAAATTAGTTGCGTTGTTCTTTTCTAATCTATAATGCTATTTAATTTTTACATTGACTTTTAACATTTTCCCTATATATGTTTAACTTAAAAAAAAAAACTTTATTATTATGAATTACCAGACCGCGATTGTGTCTGCGTGGAATTAAAAAAAGAACAAAAATAAAGTAATCAAGACCTCTTCAGAAGTTTAGGCTACTCTAGAAAACTTTCGCATTTATAATTTTGCGCAATTAATATATCTATAACATCGTATTCTTCAACAACTAAAGTACTAATTCCCGCCGGAATGGCGCGCTATTCTTAAATAAATGACATTGACAGCTGTCAGATAGGGACGGACATATCTGCCAATAATCTAGTGTTGTGCCATTCAGCATCAGTACTGATTTTTTTAACAATAATAAAATAAATTAAAAACGTTTTATTGGTGTAACAATAGATTATACAGTTTATTCAGTTGTAGGGCCTTTTAAGTAACCAATATGTGCTTGTACGTATAATATTAGCAAAATTACTTAATTTTCAGTAACCAGCACTTCACGGTGAGCGGGCACGAGGCGGTGTCGCTGGCGGCGCGGCTGAACGAGGAGCTGCGCGCGCGCTGCCATGCACCCCCAGCGCACGCAGTACTGCGCGAACATTCACAGGTATAGTGAAATTAAAAAAAAAAACCTTTATTAATATCCCCTTTGGGCCGGGGACTGGTGTCCAAACTAGGGTGGTGCCTTATGTGATGGATCACCTGGCCTCCGCCCCACAGACAACAATGAAACTGACAAAACAAAAAAAAAAAATTAAAACAACTTTATTAATTTACAAACTTAAACAAGTATGAATATATTTTGAAATTTATAAAAAATATTTTAAATTAATGTATTAATAAAAAAAAAAGAAAAACTGTTAATGAAATCTGCTAAATAAACGGGCGTATTTTTTTTTAAATAATCTGCTAGCCGAGTTTCAGATTTTTTCATTCATTTCAATGAATGAGAATCTCGAAACATATTGTTTAGAAATAAGATCAATTTTTTTCAATACTATCATAAACACCTCACCTCACCTTTATCACCTCCTAACGGGAATACGTCGGTTTACCAATAGCCTTGTAAAAACACAATAATTTTAGAGTGAAGAGAAAGAGTGCAAAGAATCTGAAGAACAGCAGCCGCGTGCACGCAGCTACGACCAGCATAAGCAGACCCATGACAATGGTAAGTCTGTGAACGCTTGTGGCTCAGCTTTGATTGGATTTTATTGTTCTAACTGCTCGTATTGAATATTTTTATTAACAGCAACCAATTAATAGAGAAACAGGCACTAAGATGTGGAATACTATTACATTTAATATTCATGTTTGATAGAAACACTATTAATTATTATTATTATTATTAAAGTAAATTTTAAACTGTATTTTTTATATTGAACTTCTAATAATTTGAAGTATTTAATCATTTTTCGATTCACAGTCCATTTTTAAGTTGAAATAATAAATATGTCAGTGGGGTGTTAAATATAAACCATCGTAGTTTGGAATATTAGTAATTTCTCCCTATGTTAGTGCCTGTGTATATCATTAAATCATTTAGGCAATTTAATTACATTACAACTAATAATCGAATTACGTAAATTGCAGTAAATTGAATCGAAATATTAAAGTAAAAAGTTGTATTATTTGTTAAAGTATTCAATATTTTAGCGCAAATTTCAATATCGATTATAAATCGATAGTGTTATATTTGCAATCGAAAACATTAACTATATGTGGACGGTTATGGACGTGTAATAAAATATAAGATTATTTATTTTTATACCATACCGTATTATTTAGCCCTTAAATGATTTTTTTCTTTTTTAAATACCATAAATTGAAACGGGTAGTAAATTGAACATAGATTAAGGAAAAAAAAAGAAAAAAAATGATTTTTTTTTAAATAGTAGTAGGTTAAGGAAGAAAAGACGTATAAATGCAACATCATGCATTTAAGGGTTAAGCAATTTTTTTAATTAGTTATTTTTATTGGATTTATAAAAGTTTAGGCGCGTTTAGACCCTAGAACTCAACAGCAGTCATGTGTTACGGTCGTTTATCTATGACAAAGTTAGACACAAGTGACACAAGTGACGAGTGGTAATGTTTTAGTCGGCGATGAGACGTTTTACTGCAATTTACGTGAGCAAGTGTTGGGTCGGCTGGGGTCGCACGGGCTCGTGTGCCGGCGCGCGCTCGCCGCCGACCGCTACCAGAGCCTGCAGTGCTTCGATGATGATGAAGGTCAGTCGCACTTCACCTAAACATGCCACTTCTGATACACTAAATATTTCAAACGACGTTCGGATGGTTAAATTACCTTTCTAAGATTGGATGTAATATCTCATTTGTCTTGTAGGTAATAAAGTCGGCGAGAAATTTGTAATCACGATAAATGCTATGGAATATTTGGCACTTTTCATAGGTAATTTTTAAAATCCAAGTTATTCGAGGAGGAACAAGTAAAAACTAACTAACTTCTATTGTAGTATAACAAATTAGGTATTTCAGTTATTTTATAGTATCCTATGTCCTGACTTTTTTCCTGTAGTGTAGTGAAATTGATTTTAAAAAAAAATATGTTAATGTAAATTCCGATTTTGATACAAGCAAAAATGACTCCCATACCTTTTCAGTATGTTTTTTACAATTTCTAGTTCTTGCCCTTATAACTTGTTCCTCTTAATGGTCATGTAAATATCGCGTTTTTCTTATCCACTGGGTTTTATGAGATTATACACACTGAGATTTAACGCTTCAAGTATTTGCGCTTTGAAAGAGGTATGCTCGCTAAAGAGAAAATAAAAGAGGATGGAAAAAGTTAATAAATAGAATTGAAAAAAAAAAACTGTTTGGGTGTCTTAAAAATTATAATTATTACGTGGTATTTAGATAAAACGGGCGACCAAGATATTTGTGGGACTTAGATAATGCATGTATTTAGGGGTCCAAACTGCTGACATCTCTTGAAGTAATTTGTTTACAGAATTTTTTTTTAATATGGTGGATAAGATGTAAGATATTTTTATAAATGTAAGAAGGGTAAAATCAAGGTGTAACAAATTACGTATTTCAAAAAAGGAGATATTCCATTTAAAAAAATTAACCGCGGGCAAAATTCACTTTAATTCTATTTTCGTAAGTTTTTCATCTAACTTCTTTCAGGCTACGTCGTCGGATCCACATTTAGTTTTGACAATGCATCTATCGAGATATTTTGTAATCACCAGCTTTAATGTGAGGTTTGTCATTTTAGCAAAACATTGTAATAATTCCCTGTATATGTCACTATATCTACGCAATAACTTTGGTAGATATTTTTAAATAGTGACAAATGCATGAGACAGGGAGTTTACGATCTCGTTGTACAGCTACGTAGCATTTGAGAAGTGTTTGTGTGCGGACAAGTTGTGACGTCAGTGTGGAGTGTAGCGTGGTCGCGCGGCATCTTCCGGTAGATCATTCTGGCCGGCGGTCCTGTGTGTTGTGTGCCCTCTCGCCGCCTCGCGACTGTGCTCTGCCAACGACTGTGTGGTTGTGCATGAGATTGCAACTAACAATTTCCGCGTGAGAAA